GTTGCAGTTGTAGCAGTAGCAGTAGCAGTCGTACTAGTAGTAGCAGTAGTAGCAGTAGTATTGGTCGTCGTCGTCGTCTTCGTAGTCGTCGTGGTAGTGTGGCAAAGGTAATAGTACCGGTAGCGGTAGTGATAGCAGTAGTAGTGTGGTCGTCGTCGTCCTGATCTGTTGGCAGAGACTCTACCGTGTGCTCTTTATGATACTTCTGACGGAAGGATCGTTCATATTACATACTACAGTTGCTGACACGAGTTCCATCATCATTGCGTGTTTGTGCTGGTGCAAGTTCGGTCTTGCCGTCATCGTCGTCACTGTTGACGTCTTTTGTTGTCGCTGTTGAGGCGCTGAGCGACGATCAGCAACTCTGGGAAGGAATCAAGATCCAAGGCACAAGGGACATCCCTTTGAGTGCGACTTTGATTTTCCATAGTGCTTGTGGTTGACGTGTGTCTCTGACCTCCCAGTGGAGAAGGATGTCTGGGTGGTTTGGGGTTCAGAGAACATTTTAGGGTTCTAAGAGATCTCTTCGCACTGGTTCTTGAGATGGAGTTCTGGCAGCCGCAAGTACATCGATTTGGCGATGCGTCCTAGCGGCTAGCTGACGTGCCTGATGAATTCCATGCAAGAAAATATATAATCGTAGGCCCGAGATCCTGCGCCCGAAGCCCGAAAGCCGACGTTTCAAGATTTGCCCCCTGGCCAGCCGCCAAAAAGCCGACGAAGATGAAGCCGCCCAAGGAGCCCAAGGCTCCCAAAGGCCCGGATTCTTTGGGGAGGTATTGTCGGGGAGGACTTTCGTGGGGGGTGGCTTGGGGGCTTTTTGGGGCCAAGGGGGCTTTTGGGCTTTCTTAGGGGAGCTTGGGGTTTTGGGGGCTTTCAGGGTTTAGGAGTTGGCGGTTGGGAGCTTCGCGCGGGGCAGGTCTGGTGGATCCCGCGGACCACTTCAAGTCCGGGAAGCATGAGGGGAAGTTCGGCGCCTTCGACAAGGGAGTGCCAACCCAAATGGCCGACGGCACGGAGATTCCGGAGAAGAAGCTGAAGGCTTTGAAGAAGGAGTACGACAGTGTCAAGGACAAGTGGGACAAACATCAGCAGGCCATGGCCAAGTATAGCCAGGATCTGACAAAATACGAGAAGTCCCCCGGACGTTGTTGGACATCGTTGTTCATACTCGTCCTGTCAATGGTCTTGAGGTCAAAACGGCAACATTAATCTGGGCAGGTTCTCGAGACTCCAGATAACCCCGAATCCTAAACCCTAAAATTCCTGAACACAAAACCCTAAAACCCTCTAAACCCCTAAACCCTAAACCCTACCCTAAACCCCTAAACCCCCTAAACTGCACTAAACTGCCCTAAACCCCTATAAAACCCAGAAACCCGTAGTTCAAGCCCAGGTGGAAGGAGGGCGGCGAGGAGGACTTCGGCGCCTCGGGGGTCCCCGAGGCGCAGCGGAGTGCTGCCTGCGAGACGGCGGCGCTGGAGGCCGGAGGAAGAGTTTTCGTAGGGTTTGGGGGGTTTAGGGTTTATAGGGGTTTGGGGGTTTTAGGGGTTTAGGGTTTTAGGGGTTTAGGGGTTTAGGGGCTTAGGATTTAGGGGTTTAGGGTTTGGGGGTTAGGGGTTTAGGGTTTAGGGTGAGTTTATGCGATGAGTTAGTGTGGGGTTCGAATAGAACCTTGAGCTATCTTAAACTGCAAAGTCGACGAGGCGGGGCGGCGTTTCTGATGAATCTAAGTGGAATCTCCGGAAAGTATTGTAAAGTCTTTTATCAAGGCTCCTTCTGCACTTCTGCACGGGGTAAGTGGAGATCGTCGAGCCATGCCCAGTTTATATACCCTAAACCCTAAGCCCTAAGCCCTAAACCCTAAACCCCTAAACCTATGAAACAAGTTCCTGACTTCAGCAGAGCGCCGCCGAGCCCTTGAGGTCCTAAGGCGCCTGTTGGATCGCTCCGTCACGGAGCACGCGGAGGAGCTGTCCGTGGAGGTGAACCAAGGAAGCCACGACCCCCCAGAGCTGGCTGCGCTGATGGTGAAGGTGGTCCTGGAGCACGAGGCCATCTCTTTCTGTGTGTTTTTGTTCAATGGAATATGTGTGCTTACATAGGGTGATGTGAGGATGGTACAGTAGAGTCCTAGAATATGTCCTAGAGCACCTTCTGATCAGGACAAGACCACGGACCCAGTTCTGAAAGTGCTGAAGACGGTGGACAAGAAGAAGCGGAGTGGCATGGTGGAGGTTGGGGAGTTGCCTGAGGTCTTCCGGCTCCTGAAGGAGGACGAGCTCCAGGTCGGCACGCATGTCTGCTTCGGAGACATCACCTATGAGGAGGTGGACTTCGTCTCAAGCGTTTTGGAGAAGTCGTCCTTGGCCAAGGAGGGGCAGATCAGCCACGAGGACCTGAAGGCCTTCATCGAAAACCAGGACCTGCAGCCCAGCGACACGGGGCATCCCAGCAGCCTGGCGGGCAGCCTGGTCTTCATGCGCCTGGAGGCCTGGAAGAAGGCCTCCTCCGTGGAGAAGTTGATGAGCCCCAGGGCCTGGCGTCTGCAGCTCTCCGGCAACGGCCTGGGCCCGGAGGCCGAGGCCAAGGAGGCGCCGGGAAAGGCGGCCGAGGAGGAGGAGCCCAAGGAGACCAACGCTCCGGCGGAGGCGCCTGTGGAGCCATCGAAGGAAGAGACTTCAGGAAAGGACAAGGAGAAGAAGGAGAAGAAGGACAAGAAGGAGAAGAAGGAGAAGAAAGAGAAGAAGTGAGGTCTCACCCTAGCGAGGCTACCTCGGCCTAGCGTGCCAGCAAGGGCCCACAGTCGAGATGCCTCGGACATGTCCCATGCAAGCTCTGCCAAATCGCCCTTCCTCTGTCGCGGGGCCGAAACTGGTCCCCTTCTGACTCATCTCAATCCACATACCATGTACTGTCATACTGCCGCCTTCAATCTCGGTCGCGTCAGTGGTGGCGTCGGCATCGCAAGGGTGCACCTCCCGAAGAGAGAAGCTGCCTCTTGCCTATCTAATGCTCGGGGTGCTGCCTGCAAAGTCCACAGGAACACCCCCCCTGAGTCACTGATAATGCACCGGCGCACCGGCCGCCGATCTGAAAATCAACTTTCCGTGCAAGCGTGTGCAGGTAGGTTCTGTTTGCCGTGGGGAATGCTTTGCATTTGCATCGTGGCCACTAAGAGCGCAGGCTCAGCAGGGCATGGAAGCTGCTTAGCGGTACAGCATGCCAGTCCCAGAATCACAGCTTCACATCTTCAACAGCTTGTTCACATGCGATCGTAATCGGCATTTCTGAGTCCTTACCTGCCTTGCCCAACTTGCCCGCAGAGGGTGACCTCGGCCGCTGGCTGTTGCTCTTCGTGGTGGTTTGGACAAGCCGCTGCAATGCCATTAAGGCCGGCATCCGCGAAATCAGTGCTGCTTCCGTTGCATGGCGAGGCAGCCGAGGGAAGAACGCCTGGAACCGCTTCGCTCTCCGCAGCCAGAGCGGGCATCGAGAAGTTCCCATGCAGGAGATTTGGTCTCCAACTCAAGCCGGAGATGGAGGCAGCAAGTGAGACGAGCCACGGGGAGCACAAGGCATGCTTGTCAATCGAGGCTCCTGCCGGGAGCAGCTTCAGCGTTTGCCCTTTCTTCCCTTTCGTCGTTGAGTCTTGCCTGGCGGTGGAGGTGTCTGCCGTGAAGGCTTCGAACTTGGATTGCATCGATGTCTCTGGAATCTGGAAGAGATCTCATTCGCAGTGGGCGCAGCCAGGCGAGTCAGGCGAGCCTCCAGCAAACAGGGGACCCAAATAAGCAGAAACAGTAGGCTCCTCAACGTGGAACCCCACTACAATTTAACCCAGACTGGAGTTGCAAAGGTCATGGAGTTGCGGTAAAGCTCATGCTTGGCGTTGGACCCGATCGGGATGTCCGTGGACTGCGAGTTCTTTCAGCGCAAGGCGCTGCAAGCCTGCGCAGGTGGGGGTTTCAGAAAATTAAAAATAGGGATCCCCATAAGGATCTCTTTAAGCATACTTTAGGGAACAATGCCCCAGGGCCAGTTTGGGCCTATGGCAGGTTCATGCTTGTTTTGCTGAGACTCTCAGGTGTGTCGATGAGCGTTGGTTGGCCCTCCTGGGGGATGGCCTTCCTCTTCATCGCTGCGTCCAGCTGCAGCCAGGCAGCTCTTTGCTGCTGCAGCGGCCGCCAGAACGAGTCTATGTGCTGCGCAACCCAGCTGTGCAGCTCAGCCGCCTTCTAGTCCGAAAGGCTTCAGAGAGGGGTGCGCAACTGCTGGCGGCACCTGCGTCCGGAAGCGCGGTGGCCATCATGGCACCGAGCAGTGCCTCGGAGATGCTCGTTGCACAGGAAGTGCTTCTCGAAATGGAGCATCGCTTCTCCATCGTTTTCTTACCCGATCGAGCCGCTGCCAACCTTCCGGCGGCAAAGGCTACGGATGCCATCCTTCGCCGGCTGGTAGCCTTTGCTGTGCGGGACAGCTTGCGCAGGGATTCCTGGCAATCTGCGGAATTTCCCTGCCGACTGTTCCAGTCGCAGATGTCCAGCACGGACATCCTGCAGCGACCCTCCCTTCGAGTTCCCTGCGTGGATGTGGAATGTGACAAGGCATCAGCCTCCTCCTCTCAGATCACGGCAGAGCTGCGCTTCTCTGCTCATGTGCGGCTGGTACAGCCACTGGCTCCTTTCCTCGCGCGCTCATCCCGGACGCCCGAACTGGCCGGGAGCTACTGCCTCCAGGGCTTTGAGGCCACCAAGAGACCCCGGATCCATGTCTTGCCGCGGCTGACAGCAGCACAGGTTACCCACATTTGGCAAGAAGGAGAGATGCCCAAAGAGCAACTGCCAGAAGAGCTCCGCACAGCCAGTGCCTTCAGAGATTACTGGGACCTGATCCATGGGCATAAGTTGCAGGAGAGCAGCCTCCAGGCCTTCGCTCGTGTTGAGTTTGTGGGAGATATCAGCCAGGAGTTCGGCCTGCTGCTGACGTATCCAGTGTCCTGTCTTTGGCGGACCTTCTGGGTGAACCAGCCAGCTCTGAGTAAGCAGCATGGGCCTGCGATTGTGAAGCAGGTTCTGCAAAGTTTGGGCAAAAATTCAACATTCGGTACGTGGCGGCTGCAGTGTGGCTTGGAGCAGGCTGGTTATCTTGTGGTGCCTTCCGCACCTCTCAACCGGCCGATGGCGCAAGATGTAAAGCTTGACTCTGTGAAGCCCGTCGAGGAGCCAGAGACGGTGAGCGCATCCCGCAAGACTGGACATACCGGCAAGCGCCGCCTGATTCTTCCTCTCATACAGCATGCGAGCGGCACCGTCAGTGGACCTTCAAAGCGCCAGTGTCTACGGTAAGCCGCGAAACGAAGCCGCTGCTACAGCGGTGAATTCAGAACCGAGCGGGGTACCAGGCGGGGGACCAAAAAAGTGTGCTCTACCAGAGCCTCGCAGTCTGCTCAGTGGCAAGGGAAGGAGAAGATCGGAGAAGCATTCGGCTGTGTTCGGTTTGTGCTATCGGTGGGGTCATGAGGATGGGGATGACAAGGATAATAAAGCAAAATGATGAAGCAGCAGATGCTCACTCTTGCGGCGATTTTCAACATTAGTTAGAGCTAAATGATGGGCATTAACGGCCACATGACCGTATAAAGGGTCACGACGGTGGTGGTGGTGGCTCTAGGCGCTGGCGCTTGTGCCGGTGCTGTGGCTGCTACTGCTGCTGCCTCGATTTGCTGTTGTTTTTTCGACCCGAGACACTGCTTCTTTGCTGCCTTCTCCCCCCTTGTTGGCGAGCCCGCGCAAGGATCCGAAGCTGCGAAAACGACCTCAAGAGACTGCACTGACGAGCTGCCTCGTGTGGCTGCGCTCGTCCAGATCCTTCTGTGCAGCAGTCTGTGTAAGGCATCTTCCGTTGTACGTGCCACATACTGTCGTCACTCGTCTCGCCGCTGCTCCTGCCTGGTTGCGTTGGAAGCAAAAAGCTGCGAAACAACTTACAGGCATGAACCAATTTCGAGCCGCGCCGGAACCTCGAAGCCGCAGCCGAGTCAAAAGAGGACTCTAAAGTAGGGTCCCTTTTTAGGTCCCCAATAATTATAGTACGGCACCTTGAATAAACAGGAGCCTAACGGGGACTCTAATTTAGAAAGCTACCCATCTGTTGTCTCGCAAGTAATGACTTCAGATCTCAGAACAGGGGCAGCTCTAGGAGCATCTGCGTTGCAGGGTGACTTCCATTGCTCCAGTCCTTGGCTCAAAGGGAGTCCTGCGTTTTTTCGTGGGACGGGCCGGTGACTACCCATAGGCTCCTTAGTAGTTCCTTTTTGTGGTTTATATTTAGGATCCTAGAAAGCAATCCCAGAAAGGAACTACTAAGGAGCCTATGGGTAGTGTGTTGCCGCCGGGCATTAGCGAGCAATGAGAGGGGGACTTCGACTCCTGGGCCGAGCAGAGGCCTTGTCTCGTTTGATTCTGAAGCTTTCTTTGGGGCCATGAGAGCTTGAGCTGAAGTTCCTGCGGCTGCGCAGAGCTCGGGGTCCCAGCTCAAGGATAGGAGCCCTTTGTTTTCAATGGGGCAGAGCCCATCCCTCACCGCGCCATGCTATGCAGCGCGGGACGGCCTGAACCCGGATTTCCCCGAGGCACGCACCTGCCGGAGGATCTGCGGTCAGCCTACCCTGAGCCCCCCCCCCACCCTAAACCCTAAATGTCATGAGCTTGCTTTAACTATCTTGCTTTACTGAAGCCTAAAGCCTCAACTGTCGTGGCGTCGCCGGAGGCTGATGTCGAAGCCCCATCGCCGTCGCTCCTTGGTCACAGGATTCACAGAGGCGCTGGAAGGAGGAGCTTCACTTCGTAAGGCACTTGGATTTGGGTATAAGTGTATATGAGGTACAATACTTTACACATATTTACTGTAGCTACTCGTACTTGCAAATCCCGATTCTATGTTGAGCTACCTTCCAATTCCAGTTAATGAGATTCTTACAGCCGGATTTTCTCCCAAGGCTTGCAGACACGGAGACGTCCCCAGAAAGCGACGGATGCTTCGTCAGGGCCTTTCCGAATGTGTCGCGCGTCTTGAAAAAGCAGTCGCTGGGTAACTCATTCTCGGGACATCTCGGGTGAGGCTTCCGCAAGCACGCAAACAGATGAATTTGGAGCCGGTGTCCGCGGTGGAAGTCCTGAGACGAGGCTCGTTGATCTTCTGAGACGTATGCCTCAGGCGTCCGATTTCCTTGCAGCGTGCAGCTGGGTCAGGTCGTGTCATGACATCGTGACACCTCAAGGAATCGACACGTCGCCAATGCCAGAGCCCCAAAGCCTGAAAGCACGGCCCGAAATCTTTCCGACCGTTCTGAAGTCCCGTTCATGTTTGAGATTGAGGCCTGTGAGACCTGTCCTGGTAGAAGGGCCACAGAAATTCTTGGCTCCTCGATTCCCAGCCGCTTGGATTCCCTTGGAATCAGAGTCCGAGTCCGAGCTTCAGAGACTCCCTGCTCTCAGGAATCTCCGGCTCACCCTTCGGTCGCGCAGAGCAGCCTGTGCTCGGATCAAGGCAGAGTCCCCACGGATGCCAAGTCAGAGGCTACAGATACCGTCCTGGGTTTTTCAGGCCCACTACCCCTCCGAGTGATGTTCAACAGCAGTCAGGTGCGCCGGATGTCGCCAGTTCCTTTTTTGCATGCCTCGTTGTGCACCGTCGCAAGCTCTGCAGGATCGATGCCGGCAGCATCGACGACATGCGCTGTCCGAACCACCAATGAGGCGGGAAGAGCCGGGACCAGACTCCCAGGGAAGAGCCGGGAACAGACTGAGATGTGGGACGTCGTTAACAAAAATGACCCCGTGCCGGCTCAGAGGATCCGTGGTGCCAGCAAGAACCTCACGGCTTGCAGGCTTGCTTGGCAGAGCTTTATGTTCTGCCGTGTTTGCTGTCGTGGCGTGTGAATCACGCGCTTTGCGGCTCAGGGAGTTGGGTATAACTTAGCGGTGAAACGGGAAACTCTCTTTTGTGTGCGCGAGGCATGGTCCGGACGGAGCTGCAAAAGCTGACAGGCAAGCTGCGCCCCGAAGTATGGCTTAAGGATCCCGTTGGGTGAGTTGCTCCTCTGCGCCAGGCTGGTGCACATCATCCGACGGGCCGCTTTTTCCTGGTTCAGACTGGTGCTTCTTGAGCGTGTTGGTGTACCCATATCCGTGATCCCCTAGCCGCCCTGGCGCCAGACCCATTGTAAAAACCCGTATAGTAACCCCAATCCTAAACCCTAAACCCAAAAAAACCCTAAAGCAATAAACCCCTAAAGCCCTAAAGCCCTTAGACCCTTGAACCCTAAACCCCTAAACCCTAAACCCCTAAACTCCTAAAACCCTAAAGCCTTAACCGAACCCTAAACCCCTAAACCCCTAAAGCCCTAAACACTAATCACTAAACCCCTAAACCCCTAAAGCCCTAAACACTAAAACCCTGAACCCCCTAAACCCTGAACCCTAAAACCCTAAACTCCTAAAACCCTAAACCCCCAAACTCCTATAGTAGTAACCCTTGGGCCGCCTAGGAGCGGCGCACTCACAAAAGAGTGCTGGACTTCCTCGCAGAGCACGGCTTCAAAGGCCTGCCATCCTAAGGTCCTGTGCCCTTAGGGTTTAGGGTTTTAGGGCTTTAGGGTTCAGGGTTTAGGGTTTTAGGGTTTTGGGGTTTAGGGTTCAGGGGTTTAGGGCTTAGGGTTTTAAACTCTGAAATACTGTACCGGTTGCTAGTGCTGGTGCTATGCTATGCTAGACTGTGCACTGTGCCACTCTATACTATTCAGAACAAAGTTTCTGTAGGTTAGTGGCCCTAAACCCTAAACCCCTAAACCCTAAACCGCTAGCCTTAATCCTGAACCCTAAGTTGCATGCGATTGTGATTGCATTTGTCAAGGAGTGGACGATTCTCGGCGCCAACGCCTAGGCGCGGCGAGTCACTTTCGATATGTTTGAGACTAGGTTTGTGTTTTGGGCGGGGTTGAGGGACCGGGCTAAGGTTGTTTAGGCTTTTAGGCTACTATCTTTGTGAGGATTTCGGGGGGCTCTTAAGTAGGATCCCCTATCGGTGGAGAACCCTCCATGTCCCAACATAATTGTCATAGCGAAGTAGCAGTATCTTTGTTGCAACTCTCACTGTATCGTGACTTGCTGCTACTATTGTCAATGTGATCGCTGTTGTCAAGTTTGGTCGCTGCTATATCTGCTAAGGCTAGTGCGACATTCGTGTGGCCATAGTTTTCTTCACTCGTGCGAGTTTGCAGATAGCGAGCCCTGGACAGCGAACACTCACAGCAACCCTGAGGAATGAAACCAGTTCACCCTAAACCCTCAACACTTTACGTGGAGGCTACGCTCGCTGGTGTCCTCTGCATGCAGCTGTGACCGAGTACGATGCCGAAATGGCCCATCTCCTGAGCTTGGCTAACGAGGGTTTCAGTGTAGTACGGTTTGCAGTTCGCCTGAAGCTTTCGAGGTCAGAATGCTGCTGCACATGGGCGCAGACCGTACCAGGTGCTGCGCTTCTTGCATACCCAGGGGGGGTCAGCGGGATGCAGCGGGTGCGCGATGGCTGCTATCAGACTTATCAGACTTAGGCAGAATGGGCATGGTCTGACAGCGAGCGAACTTGCCCTGCGCCACGGCCCGAGAGTCCTGCCCAAAAGGAGCCTATTGCTGTGAAATCAGAGTTGCTACCAGTGCCATTCTTGATTTCGTGCCAGTTGTATCATAGGATCATGATCACCATGATCCTTATTGAACTCAGGCCTCTGTTGCTCTGCGCTTTTGCTTTGGGTTTTTCCCCTCCACAGGTCAGACCAAAACAGGTGACCGGCGTGGATTTGACGTGCTTGCAGCGGCAGCCTCGGTACAGAGAGGGATCCCATTTGTGCAAGGGTCACCTTTTGCTTTGTAAGACTTTGTCTTACAGTAGTACCCTAAGCCCCTGAACCCGAGAGGATCCCTGCGGTTTCGTTCGGGTTTTTGGGTACGGTTTAGGGTTTGGGACCAGCAACTAGGGTTTGTGTCGCTGAGTTTGAGGTTAGGCCTTAGTCCATGTTAAGGTTTCGAGCATTGAAATCTCAAGACTATGCTCATGAACGCTCAAAAGGGGCCCTACAGGCACCTACCGATGCGAGCTTCCCATGTTTAAATGCCACAGTCTCATAAAATCTCATAAATGTGCATGCGGACATCGTTTCATGTAGGCCGGTATTGTTCGCGTTTACGTAGGTTAAATGCAGCTATGTGTGTACAGGTATACGAAGAGGAGTGCACATGCATCATTTATATATGCATATGCAATCTAGATGCAGGTGCATGTATGTGCGCGCACACATGCATGTGCTAGCACGACACGAGACATAGTACATGCGGTACATACGATAGGTACGTTTCATGGTAAGATACGGTACTAACGTTACCATGCGCACATACATTGACATATATATATATAAATAAATAATCTACATACAGAGCTCGGTAGATACATGCACACACGCCTACGTACTTGCAATATAGGCGTGCATGCATGCATGCATGCATGCATGCAGGCAAACACGGATGCATCCCTACATGCATGCATACACCATGCGTCTATGCATTTGCACGCGCATACCATAGACATACATGTATGCACGCATTTGATGAAGCCGCACACATGCACAAGCCGTTGATACAGGAGTAGAAATGGAGCAGTAGGAGATCAATAAACCCCTAAAACCCTAAACCCCTAAACCCTAAACCCCTAAACCCCGAAACCCTAAACCATAAACTTGGCCCTAAACCCTAAACCCCTAAGATCAGGGAGTCTCCCAGGTGTTGGAAGCACACGAGCTGCGGCGAAGCAGATTCCGCGAGGGAATGTGTTCGGAGCGGGCCTCAGAGAGCTGTTGCTCATTGCAGCAGATATGTGAGCATGGCAGAGGCCGGGTCGAAGGAGGTTCTGATGTTACGAAAAGATTTACCTAAAAAGGTCGTGCATCGCAGGGATTCCAGTGCCATGTTTTGGCATTTTCGTACCGCTCCCGGATTTGTCCATTTCCTGAGCAGGTGGCCGACCTCGTGCGTTGAAGACAGGCGCAGGCAGGAAGGCCGTTGGTGTTACCATGGTTTGTCAACTCTATGGACGCAAGGCTTTTCGGGTTTACTATATTATATACATCCCTGTAAAAGCTGAAAGGTTCAACTTTTAATTGTAGATGGCCCAGGTGCAGACTAGTCTCTACGGCAGGGCCCAGTTAGCAGATTGGAGTGGGGGTCCTGCGGGGTTGGGAGGGGGCCGTCAAACTCGCTCAGATTGCAAAACACCGGTGTCAACCAACGAACCAAGCCTAAAATCCAATCCCATGAATAGTGGCCAGCAAACCCCCCAAAAAGGGATGAGTCCGTACTAGCATGGGGATCCAGCATTTAGAGGGTTAAGGCCTGAGGGGTTTAGGTGACAGTTTTTGTGAAGTACGGATGTGACGATGAGCATGCCGTGCTCCCTCTGACCATTGTCCGGACTGCCGCCATAACCGTGACCCTGGGATTTTGAAAGCTCCCTTTCGTCCCTGCCATGCACTCCTCCTTGATGACACATGTTGCGTAGATGGTTGAGATGCCTTTCCCTCTCACCTCTTCCGTCCGAGAGCTCACTCGTTTCGGGTTTTGGCTTGTCCAGGAGCTGCTCTTGCCGGCTGTTCGTCGGCTGAGAGGTCTAGCCGGCTGCATGACGAGATTTCGGCGCACTTGTGCTGCCGAAAGCTTGCACATGCAGGAAGGGATCCTTTGATAATATGCATGAGTGGTATGCCCCGAGATCGCTCAGTTTGCCAGACCGCTGGTTCGAGTGTGGCAGGGATGATACATGACACAGCAACGTACAACGTGCCATACAAGCGCGGCTGCAGCTGCGTCCCACATGTCACATGTCTCATGAACTGCGCGGAGCATATGCAGCATATACACGTATGTATATGTGTCTCTCGTATGATGAAGCAGATGATGGTGTGCATAGACGGATGTGTGCATGTACGCTTGGTGCGGCGACGAGCAATATTCTGTAGCGGGAAGTCTGCGGACTGCGGGCACATGGATTTGTGCAAACCTGAATTGGCACTGACATATTCACTCTTGACTTGCGAGATATTCTCTTTTGCACGCAATGTATAGTGTGCCCTGCATGCAACTCAGCCAGCTGTTGTTTCACGTTTCACATGTCAAGTGCATGCTATGACAGGATTTTCGTTGATGTAGGTGTTGCGCGTATGCATGTGTGCAAAGCATGCCTCAGGTGTACTTCCTCAAACAATGTGTTGCAACGTGGTCTTTCCGTAGGAGCAAAGAGGGAGTGGAAAAGGTTTCGGATGGTTTAGGGCAGGGTTTAGGGTTCAGGGGTGTTACCGTGAGGTGTACCCTGGCAAGCGGACGGGCCGGTTGCGTGGCTACTGCTGTAGGGCGGTACACATTTCGGCGAAAGTCCCCCTCGAGTCCCGCCCTCGAAAACGCTTGATTCATTGTGCGGGTCGCAAGCCGCACAGGGTGGAAATCGTGCACCACAATCTCGTGCGCATTTGTACATGCCCCGAATGCATCTCAATGCATTTTGTCCATGAGTGTGCCAGGGAGTTTCAATGCTTTTCGTGGCATAATATGCTCTTGATGCACAGCACATGGTTTTGTCCATGCGTGTGGAAGGGACTTCTGTGCTCCGGATGCATTTTGTCCGTTGGTGCGCAGGGGACACGTTCAATGTTCTTGATGCATCACAAAATCCTAGCCTTTTCGGCTTTTTCTGCGGGCACATATTTGCTCCACGATCTGTTCAAACACATCTACATTCGGAAAGCAGCGGGTAGGGCACACAGGTGAGGTCTTGAGTGAATGAGCGCATTTGCTTCGGAATGTTGTTTAATGTCAGTATTTGTTTTCATCGTGGGGCTCTGAGCAAGAATCCCATGCGAAAGGTGGCACATTCCCTGCATTATCCCATAGACGTTACTACAGTAATCGTATCACACCTCTCACTGGTCTGGTATGCAACCTCCCCTTTTGTCTTGTTGGAAGGGGAATCAAGCCTTGCAGCGAAGTACACGACACAGCCACAGAATTCCCAGACTTTGAGGGGACGGGGGGTGGCTAAGCCGGCGACTGGGAGTGGACTCAGATGTGGGGGAAACAGGGAATCTGTGTGAGCACCTCTGGCCGCTTCGGCCAGGTCCGAGGCGAACATCTAGAACTTGAAGAACCCCGTTAATACGTAGCTCAGGTTCAACCGGTGTACGTACATGTCCGTACATATCTTTGCTTTCCACATGTCCTTTCCGGGCCGGTGATCCATCGAGATCTACATCCCTGCTCTGAACTTAAACCCACGGCTATAGGAAACATTGGCTCAGGAATGGGCTCAGGAATGTGAAAAGTAACCCGGTAAAACCCATGCGCTTGGTGTTTTGTCGAGTAGGTAGGCGTGGCTTGAAGTTGGGATTGATGCTCTTCTTCACTCCGGCCTTATGATGTGCCGCCGCCTCCAGCGCATGTTGGTTGGATGGTCGTGAACCCATGTGCTCTGATGCTCTTGCCAAGTCCCAAAAGTAAAAGACCCAATAGCATTCCAGCAACACTCCAAATCCCGCGGTTCTAAGGGGTTTCTCATTTTCCAAATATCGAAACGGTAACTCCAGCCATATTGGTGTGCCCGCGTCTGATCTATCTGGGGCGGCAATCGTGCGTGTTCCTGTCGGGTGCTCTCTTGTTGTGTCGGGGGCATCTGCTCATGCGTCTCCTACTTAATGTTGGAACTTGTAGATATGCAAGTGAAGTATGCAGGTATGCCACGTTGGTCATCTCTGTCATCGTGCCCATGCACGGTATCGTGTGTCATGTATCATCGATGTGTCTCTCGCGTGACTAATGAATAGTGTGCATAGGTGCATGTCGTAGACAACGTATGCCGTGCACATGCAGTTTATCTGCACTTGGTTCACAGTCGGTTCGGTGTTCGATGACGACTCTCATAACATCTCATAACCCTGGGAAGTAGAATGGCGTGATTAGATTGTCCCACGCGCCGCACGTGCATATGATGCGAGAGGTGTCTGGCAAGCTCAGCTTTGACCTCGGTTACCTATATACCACGCACAAATTCGAGTTGCACAGCTCACCGCAACGGGCGCTAGCATCGAAAACTTCGACTGCGCCGGCGATGAGAGCATTGCCATTCAACTTGTTTCTTGGGAGGCGTAAACCTGGGAAGCTGCTAAATAAGTGGCAGTGGTCCAGATTTCAAATGGATGCGGTCAGCTCAGCAAGGTGCTTCTGAAGCATTCGTAGTGACGTCGTAATGCCCCTGCGCGAACCCATTCAAGGGCGTAAACTTGCAACTTGAAGGGTTGTGCACATAGAAACCATAGTTGTCTTCGGAACACTTACTGCTACGCTTGCACCCGCATGAACCGGTGTTCAATGAACTTTGCGAAGATCATCCTCGGTGGCCTCGAGCTGCAGTATCCACTGCTGTTCGAGCTTGCTGTTGTTGAGGCTCACCTCGAAGTATCTGACGACTACGAGTGCAGTAGACTTCAGGACTAATCCAGTTTGTTGGGGGATCCTCGATACGTGAGCCTCGACTTTGCTTGGATCATGTCCCAGCTGTACAGAAATATTTACATCCGGGAATACAGGCCGGCTGCCTAGCCCGTCGGCACAGGCTCTGGTCTATGGTCAATGCAGCCGAGCTGGATCCGAGCGGGATCTGACGTGATGGCACCACTGCGCAGTTGCTCGGCTGCTCGGCTTTCTCATTTCACTCCCGCACCATCGGCTTTCTCGCAAGTTTCTATGCTCCTCTTGGACTCTAAGGCAAATTTCGGCTGAGCGATGGACGAGGCTCGCCGCTTCTTTGTGATGTGTTGCTGGAAGCAAGCCTGGTCAACCTCGGTCATGTGTCGCATAAATGATTCCTGCTTTACAGCTGGAGCGACACGAATTTACAGCACAGAGCTACCCGTGACTATGAAAGTCGGCAACTGGTAGCCGTAATGAAAGCTCTCTGCTTTTGCAGTGGGGCGAATGCCTTCTGGAAGCTCTCAAAATTTGAAGCTGAAAGCTGACTATCGCGCTGGCATCACAAGAGGTTTCAGGATGGTTTCTCAGGGGCAGTGTGTCATGGGAGCGATAGCTGAACTACCTAATGAGGCTCGGGTGTTGCAGGGTGCAGGTGATGCCGGTGCACTTGCATTTCGCCTGCACGTGGAAGCGGAAGTACCTTCCCTGTGGGTGGGCTTGCCCCTTTTACAGTTTGCCTAGGCATGGCACTTCAGACACGTGACCTTGCTGTATGTGTTGAAGGTTTGCCACCTCTGGACCGGAGCATCGGACTCTTTTTCCCAGGAAGAAGTCGATTTGCGATGCAAACTTGTGCGACCTCAGTGAGCAGATCGAAGCTCTCTTGCTAGCCTGGTCGCACAGTGCTTGGCTGCTTGCTTGTATCGTGCAGGTGTGGGTCCTGGCCGGCGATACGGCAGCCACCCGGTAGGCCGGGTCTGTGAGTTTTAAGAGTTTAAAATACAAAAAGGCAGCGTGACTGCGTCACCCCGGCAAGGTCTGCATGATCTCCTGACGTCTCTCCAGCGCAGCCCGTGCCTAGTGGCCCTTCGTCGAAAAGAGCGGAGACTGCAACTCAGGTAGAACGATCAAAAGCAAGCAGCAGCCATTCTGGTAACGCTACCACTCCAGGATTCCAGCCATTGCTGCTTCTGGTAGTACTTCAAGCCTTTCAAGGGCTAAACGCACGGTGTACTGACGGAGTTGTCGGCAGCTGCCCGCTGCAAGAGAAGCTTCCGCAAAAATTATGCACGTGGTGTGAGTTTTTTCGTCGCGCCCCTCTCTCGGAGTTTATCTAAAGTGAGCACCAACCGGAAGGAATTCGCGGGTGCTTGAGGGTTTAGGGTTTAGGGTTTAGGGTGGCTGAAGCACACGATCTGCTGCGTTGGCCGCTGCTCGTCTCCAACATTGTGACGCTCACGAAAGCCCACTCTCTAAAGTCCAGGTCCTTTGATGATAGCTTTCCAGACGAGCGCGACGGCAATGACACATCCCAATTGGGCAGCTCGAGTTTCCGGGGTACCTGCGCAGATTTCGACAGGAAGATGTTACTTGGGGGTGCAAGCAGTGTGCCACACTTCTGGGGGTGCTTTTCTGGCCACAGCCGCCTGCCTCCTCCTTGTGCCTCCCCGCCTGTTTCACGAGGCGTTTTGCCTGCTGTCACGAGGTTGCCTGCCTTCCACAGAGAGAGCAAGCGCCGGTTGGAAGCACCATTGACAAGGGATTTCAGCAGAGCCATGTCCCTGGCCTTTAATCGGCATGGGAATCTGTGCACAAGTATTGAAGGTCAACGATGTTGAGGGTGAGACTAGGGATGACAAGAGCCAAGACGGTGATTAGCAGCATGTACGGAGATCGGAGATCTGAAACATCACGACAACACACGATGAAAGATGAAAGGCCAACTTCTGAGCACTTAGAAAAGCAATCATCCGGAGGTCGGCAATCCTCGAACAACTTCCGATTCATGAATGGCCGGGCCAGCAATCCTGTACCCCTAGCGGCGCCAGCGGCCGCAGACCCGAAGTTCTAAACTAAGTCCTAAAGCGCAGAGAGACGTTTTTGAAGAGTCTTGTGCCGATGCGGGCGGCTTTGCAGCGACTGCTCTGCGGCTTTGCCAGTGCCCGATCTTCTCGTCGTTCGGCCTTTGAGGGAGGGTCCACGAGCTTGGTGGACGCGACGACTCTGCCGAGTGCTGACAGAGAGCCCGCCCAGCTGCTTCCTGCCCCAAACCCTAGAATGGGGCCCAGCTGAGATGAGAAGATTTGCACGGCATGAAGTACCTCGACGGAGAAGAAGCCTCAAATCTCCCAGCGGCAATCGAGATGACATCAGTGTGCAGCAGCTCTGAGCTCGCGTGCAGTCTTCGTCGTGGTCGAGTGCTTCCGAGTGAGCAGGGATGGCGAGCACTTGTGCACAAAAGCGCAGCAGCGGCTTCCACACAGGCTTCCTGTCTGTATTTGGCATGCGTGCCAGCTGCTGAAGCTGGGGTATGTATAGAGATATGCAGCCGGGTTGGGCCGGACCTGCATGCAATGTGGTGCCCAGGGCGATGTGACCCTGCAAGGGGGGCACGAGCTTCCGGCGGCTGGTGTGATTCCAAGGCCGAGCTCAATGCCACGTGCCATGAGCGTCCAAAAGCGTTCCCGCAACTTTCATGAACTCTTATGCCCCGGCGCGCCATGAGAGTCATGAACGTTGCCGCAACTTTCATCAACGCTCATGCCCCGGAGCCATGAGAGGCTTGCATCTATAGCTGCAGCCACGGAAGTCATATGAGAACCAAGAGTACAGGACGTGGTTGATCTTGTCTCAAAGGTGCATGCGCTTTCCTTCGTGGCTTTCTGATGCCTTTTATCTCTGTCGACATGCATGTAGTCATAACGTTTTTTCTATGTTCTATTGCAGATGTGTACTGCCACACGTAGAGCTAAGCTACGTACTGCTAAGCATGCGGCCAAGTAAGTACCAGCGAAGCTGGAGACGACTTGGGAAGCAATTGGAAGTGCTTGGGCCGGGGCCAAGTTGAAGACGACTTGCATCCTGCCAGTATCTTCCGTGCCATTGCTGCTTGCAACATGGTTCCCGGATATCCGGAAGCCGTTAAGCAGCCACTTATCGCTCAGTGGCTGCATGAGCCGCTTGAGTGTTGCTCGCCAGCTCACGGAAGACGCCCTAAAGAAGGAGCTGTTGCTTCTGAGAAGGCAAGCGATTGAAGCTTTGGCTTTCAACTTTGCAAGTCCGTGCTGTCTTGAATTTAGAGAATCTGCTGGGCATATTTTTCAGCCATCGCTTTTGACCCGCATGCGTGGCTCAAGCGCGTTTTCAAGAGTCCAGTCTGGCCTCAACTTCATCTGGCGTGGGGGCTTGCAAGATGAAGTTGGGCACTGCTTCAGGCGGAGGCGCCGGGGGGGGGGGGGGGGGGGCCCGGCTGGCTGCGAGACTTTCTGTACCTTGGGGCAAGGGAGGTTCCAAGAGACTTGGATGGAAAAGGCCCCAGTCGGTCTGAGTCAACATCTTCATACATTGAGTCAAGACATGCCGTTGATTTTTGGAATATCTTGAAGCTGATGTGACAGTTTGTGGCTCAATAAAATCCACAAGTGTGCCCGAAACCCTCGTGCAATCGTGGCACTGGCAAAGCCAATGGATGAAGGTTCAAAGTTAAAAACTATCGTTCCAGATGGTGGCGATGCGACTGGTTCAAAGTCGGTGATGCCTGATCCATCTGATCCCGGCTTGGACGCCTTGTTGGCTGAAGTAGCTGCACAGCCACCAAAGCCAAAGTATTCCAAAGCATTATCCAGTGTTGGTGGCCAGGCGCAGAAGCTGACGCAGGAAAAAGGCTCAAGAACACATCAAAGGGATGCAGCTATCAGCCAGCGCGGTGGGCATCAACCAGCTGTCTGCCAGAGAGCTGCAGCTGCTCAGAGGGGAGGTTGAGTTCAGTGGCCTGGGTACAGGTGGTCACCGCGCTAAGTACGTCATTGCACCTCCAGAGATGGAGAGTGCAGATGAAATCTTGCGCTGGATGTTTGTTCGCCAAGATGGATGGCGCTTGAAGCCTCCAAACCTACTGCTGTCTTGCTATGGCGGGAGGGATCACTATGTGAACTGGGCCAATTCACCAACACTTCGAAATCGAGAGGCCTGGGCCACGGCCACTGGCGGCGCAGATGACTGGAAGTTTAGACAGAAGTTCACGAGCCGACTGTCAGAGATCTCATCAGGTGTTTGCCAAGCTGTGACCGAATGTGGGGGATGGTTTGATCTGGGCACTGGACCTAGAGGAGGCTTGAACGAAGTCTTGATGGACGGCTTAAAGGTCTATTGGTCCGCTTTGGATGCTTGGCAGGACACAAGACCGACAACGTCGTGTTCTGCGTGCGCTTCTTGCAGGACACGGAGTTCAAGGAAAGCTTTCTCCAGTGTGCACAGGCTGTGCCTGCATCCGGTCCAACTGACAAGCCGGAAGAGTTGAAGGAGCGAGTGATGTACCCATCTGTCAACAGTCAGTTGTTTCCAGAGCTTGGAAGCGATCCGAAGGCAGCGGCCAATGAGCAGGATCTCCGGGGCTTCGATCCGGATGATGAAGACGCAGGGAAGAGTGCGAAGAGTGTTGCTGACATGGAGCTAGAGGTGCGTGCCCAAATCACGAGACGCTTTCTCTGCAATGCTCTTACTCACATTATTTTTGTCCAAAGTCAGCAAACACTGGATAGGCTGAGAATCAAGCTCCGCTCGCTGGCTACGCGGGCATCAATTTTTGCGAACGGGAATGAGGCTCTCATTCAACCTGGTGTTGACGGTAAGATTTTGATGGAGGCAGCGTCAGGCGTGCCCATCGTGTGTCTTCACAATACAGGAGGTGCCGCAGAAATGTTGGGTGCTGCAGTTCTGAAGAGACGCCAGCCCCATCATGCCGAACACTCCAAGTTTATGTACGGGTATGACCTTCCGGAAAATGTACCTGACGATCAGTTCCTCATCCTGAATCCAGCAAAGGATTCAGTTGAAAAGGTCATCAACAAGTTGACACTCGTCCTGTCGACGGTCCAAGATGATGAAATGATGGAGATTGGTTTTGCCAAGAGCGAAGAAAATCGTCTTCGGTATGCTTGGGAACAGTACCTGCTCTATGCCTACAACGCGACTGTTTTCCGAAGAAGAGCTCGAATCCTGCATGTCGTGACGCTGGTTGCTGTCTTGTATCGCGAAAGCACGGCGAACCCCGACTCACCTTTGCAGCAGGAAGAGTTGCGAGTGAGTCTGCTGGTCTTGCCCTGCGTCAGTGCATTTATTCTGACCTCAATCAGCCGCTTGAACTTCGTGAACAAATGGGCCGCTTTGGAAAGCGGTGCTGTAAATGTGAAGAGCGAGATCTATCAGTACCGCTGTCGCGTGCTGTATTACCAGCCCAGGAAGTCCAACGACATGGACATTGAAGATCGCGTGGAAGAGCTTTGTGACAATCCTCCTAGCACCGCTGACCTAGCCACGCTAGCAGCTCTGAAGAAGAGGCAGAAGAAGGCTGAGGCAACAGCCCCAAAGGGAACAACTCGTCGTGGCATGTTCTCCGCAGCTTTAGCGCAAATCAACTCGGATGCCACAGGCTCAGATGTTCGGGCTGATTATTTATCTATGCCGCCAGCGTCAGCCATGGCTAAACTTCAATCCAACCTCTATGACTGGGACAAGGTCCTTGCCTCCTACAAAGCCCGGAACTCCTCCACTTCCTACTTGTGTTGCAGGAGGCTCTGCAATCCCTGCAGACGTCCTTCTGCGAAGGTTCTGGATCATGAGGACGGCCCATGGAGTCAGGTTGGTGCTGATTTTCATCCAAACCCCTTTGCAATAGATGATGACTATTTGAATGATGATGGAACATCTTTGGTGACGGCCGAGGACTACATCCATTTCCGATTCTTACCCATGCTTCAGTACTACTCTTGGCGTAGCCATGACCTTTCAAGGAAAGTGATGGTTCTTCAGGTCTTGACTTACTTTCTGACTGCAGCACTGGCGGCTGCAACTCCGCTCGGCTACGAAGCTTGGCCTAGATGCTACATCCCAAACCCTCAAATCCTAAATCTCAAACCTTACACCTGAGACTGAATCGAGCCAGAAAGCCCTAACCCTAAGCCCTCGCGCCTAGGAAGCCTGGATACCGGTGCTGGTGTCCTTCATCTCTTTTTTCAATGGGATCATGGAGTTTGAGGCCTTATCGTCTCAACCTCGCAATGTCAATCAATCTTTGGAGTCGCTCAAGAATCTTCATTTCTGGTGGCAGAGCCTCTCCATGGTCGAGCGGCGGATGCCCTCCAACAAGAATGAGCTAGTGGCCTGCACCGAGGCGACGGCTGACAGTGAGATCTCTGCGTGGAAGAAGACATTGAAGGTCAAGAGTGTGACATCTGGAGGTTCCGAGGGCAAAGAAGAGAAGGAGGAGGATTCGGATTGATGGTTTTCGTTTCACCACAGCACATTTGGGTGCCAGGACAATCTGCTCACTGGAGCGGTACAGCACTGCGGGCACATTAAGTGCCAGGACAAATTCGCAAGGCATGTCCAGACCAAGCCACCTTCACCAAGTGAAGCTGAAGACGAAAGAGCCCACGGAAAACAGACCTGCCTATTGCATCATGCTGTTCACTGCCACATGCTGGACAAACTGGTTTCCGTACGACCACATGCTTGTCCTCAATAGCTCCTCATGACTTTCTAGCCCTTGATGCGTGTTTCAGGCCCCTCTTCATCAGCCTCGCTGGAAGCCCGACGCTGAGTGGAGCCTGGGAGGCATGAAGTAGATTTTCTTAACCGTTAAGCCGTTAAGCCCCCAAATCCAATTCCCAGGTATCAAGTGCATTTGAAAGGGTTCTGTCTGCTGTAGACTGTGAGTGAGACGCGATCCTGCACGGTTTTGTCTTTTGCCACGGTTTTGTGTTTGGGTCCGAGCTGGGGGGCTGCGTGCTCATCTGGCCCACCGATGCTCATGTGCCCAGCTGCTGATGCTCATCCGCCCGCCCGCCGATGCTCGATCCATTTCGCCAGCTTAAAAGAGTTCAGTCGCGACGGATGGGTTTATAACCCTAAACCCTAAACCCATCCCTAAACCCTAAACTCTAAGTTTTGTTGTGTGTCTTCCCCTTTTTATTTGAAGTGGCGGCGGTGGGCTCAGGAGTCGCCTTCTGAAGCTCGGAAGTGCGGAGCTGACGTGTTTTGGAGGCGGGCATTTAAGGTGTAGGTGTTGGAGTTTGTGGGGTTTAGGGTTTAGGGTTTAGGGTTGAAGATTCCTCACAAGGCCATGGGTGACTTCTTTCGTGCAGGTGAGGTTCGGTGACAGCGAGCTTGAAGGTTTTAGATTTAGTACGAAGAACGCTCATGAAAGCATGCCGATTGACAGCGACCATAGTTTCCAGAAGCCGTTAACATTGCCTGGGAAGCTGCAACTGCCTTCAGGCTTATGCTAGCTCTGTTCCCCCAAACAGTTCGGTAACATTATGTGGTCCCGACAGTTCCTTAACGTTACTGTGACCGCGAAGCATGCACAACCGGCACGAGCGCGGGCAGTGGCGCGGTGGACATGTGAGATACAAATCGTGTTCTTTCCGCAGTCCCGCTGTGGCCCCGTTCGCCTGGGAGGCACGGGAAGGCTGAAGTCATTGTTGAAATCAGATACTTTGGCAAAGGAACTGCACTCCCGCCGCGAGGGCGCATGTGGGGGTGCATTTTGGGTGAAAATCGCGACTCTATCAGTTGGACGGCAAATCGCTCGAAGTCGGTTAGCAGGGCCATCGCATTCGTTTCCTCTGCACTGCTCTGGTCTCGAAATCCGGTCGCTCTAAGGGGTTCCCCTCCTCTCGTGTTTTTTGGGGGCACATTGTCTTCTCGGCGGCCGCCACAGTGCAGCCAAAGTCCCGCAGATTTGGGGGTGGCTCCGGACTTGGATCTTGAGGAGCATTTATGATATTCATGCCGATCTTTGCCATGAACACCGGAGGTATTTTTCGATAAGTTGCTTGTACTACGAGTACTTCGACTGGTGCTCTTGCACGACTGTCATGCTTGTTACCAGCATCACTGTTGCTTCTTGATGGTACCTGCTTAGATTCGGGGAGCAGCCGAGAGATTTGTGGCCGATGTGAGCGGTTCAGGCTCCGAGATGCAGCTGCTGGCGATCATGGGACCTCTGCTCGACCGGAGGCTGGGGCGGACAAGGCATCATGCATGAGACCCGAGAGCAGACCTGTTTGTCTGCTCCAAGTGATGCCTGCCACCTCACGAGGCAGCATCCACCCATAAGCCACTTTTGAGCAGCGATCGCTCCGTGCATTCATGGTCGGGCTCGTTCTGAAATCGCATGTATAGCCGCACCGGTGCGCCGGCAGCCGCAGGCACGCAGATGGAAGTGCCTTCATCGTCGCATCAGGCTCTGTATCGGATGGCATCCGACGAAAATTTCTGCCGGTAAGCACGACCAGTGGAACAAGCAGCCGCGCAGGATGCGGTGCCTGTGAGGGAAGGGTGTCAGGGATAGCTTGTTCTTGTGTGTAGGGTTTCGCAGGTGCCCGGAATCAGCCGTTGCTCGTTGTTGAAACTTGCCGTGCTGCCAGAGCACCGCTTTGGCCCACGTCATCGACTGTGGGTCCGCCGTGTTGTAGTGTTC